CATATTTGTGTGATTTGGGATGGGCCTGGCTTGCTCTGAAAATAACATTTGCTCTGTGACCTATTGGTGACCCTGACAGTATGAAGAAGTAGTAGGATGTCGACATGATGCTCACGACCCGGTATCGTATCACGTGTGGTCGAGTCTACTGTCCAGTCTGGAAGATAAATCTTTTTGGGGAGCTAGTCTAGATATAATTCATTGCCTCATGAGGCCTGCTTATTTAATTTGAAATGAGTATATCTTGAATAAGAACTTTATTCGCCTTAGATCGCTTAATTTAATAGAGAAGTGATAGTAAATTTTTGCAGAATTGGATGAATAGGCTTCACGATGCATTTGAGTCTCACCGGCTCTTGCTTTCCAGAAGTAATTGTCATCCTGGCTTGACGGGATTGGACTGGACTGGGCTGGATGGTGGTCTAGACCTCACTTGTAATCGTCTCATCAACACTTTCAGCGGAAATCGAACCCGGGTTCTGTTAGTGCATTTTATACTCTCGACATGAGAATACTATTCGAGTAAGTCAAGGGAGCAGAGGTGAATTTCAAGGAGGGCTAGGCTTCTCAAGTATCATTTGAAGAGTTGGATTGTTGATGAATTAAAGTCATATTTTTCCATTACAATTGATTAACTTAATTATACTCATAGAAAGTAGGGTTCGAATCTATCATCATTTCTTGAATCAAAACTCAAATCATCTTATTTGCAAAATTTAGGTTGTTTTTTGTCACGCATCTATCCAATTTCACATGGCCTTCACTCCTAAAATGTACGACCACCCGGGCATCTATAGCACCTGAAAAGTGGAAATAAAACATGGCTTATGATAATGCAGCGTGTGTGCATCCAACCATCCATCCAGCTAAGTGTGTCTTGTCAACTTGCAAGATCTGATCCCGCTGCTTTAATCTGCGCACTGTCAAGCCCGCCTGCCTGCCAGCCGTCGTTCAGTCAATCAGACATGTTAAGGATATTAAGCAAAACTGGGTTTCGAAGAATTCCTTAATGAACTATTGTGGCATGACTCTCCATTTCTAAAGGGAAATTGGTTGGAAGGAATTTGTGATGTGGTCGCGTAGGCAAGACTGTTGAATTGTGCTTTCGTCTGTCCCTTCATGACAGACATCATCAGAGCAGGAATACGTACTTCACAAAATAGAGCAAAAATATACCAAGTCAAGAGCAACGGTTGTCATGGAACGCACCTCCAGTTCGTAGCTTCATTCATTTGCAAGCATTTCGAGTAAGGTTGGAGTGTCAACCAAATCATGGAATGCCTCATTAAGATCACGAAGTTAAGTGTATAAAAAAGCGACTGGGGTTGCAGCCGGCCACTTTTTCTTTTGGTTTAGTATATTTCTGCTCTATTTCGTGAACTATGGAATCTTGCTCTGATGTCTGTCACGAGGGGACGCAGGACTGCGAGCCGAGGACTTCAACAGTCCTTCCTACGCGACAATCCTTCTTCGGTTTCCGGGGAGACCACATCACAGATTCCTATCAACCAACTTTTACTTCAAAATGGATAGTCATGCCACAATCGGACATGTTAACTTGCATGATCCGACTTGGCTGATCCAACTTCTCTTATCCGTGGGCTATCTGATCCCAGCCAGCCAATCATGTCATGTCAAATTGCATGATCTAATCCAGCCGATCCCACTTTTTTTTATCTTCAGGCCACCCTGTCAGATGCCTGGCAATGGGTGGGATCAGGCGATATGTGTGTGTGTGTGTGTATGTATGTTCTGGCTGGTTCGGGTGCCAAGACGTGTTGCTAAGAGGCCGGTGTCGGGACTGGAGGCTGGTCGTGTTGTCGATGCGTCGAATTGTCGAAGGGTCGGCCAACTTGCCTGTTTTGAAGCCGTGGCCGTGAAGCAGACAGGCGAGGTATCCGGTGATGTCGCGTCCGCCAAAGTCGTAGTGTCTGTAGCTTCCGGGCACCAGTCGGCCGTCGAGGAAACCCATTGTCGTGGTGCGGCTCTCGCCGGAGTCGAGCACGAGGCCGGTGACACGACCGGTCGCGTAGAGCGCCATCTGGCAGGCGGGCAACATGGCGACACCGGCCGGTCCGACAGTCTCGAGGACCGCTTCGACGAGTCGAGCTCGCCGACGCAGTTGACTCGACGTCTCGTCCGGCCTCGGCATCGGCTCGTGGTCGAGCAAGAGGAGACGATGATTGGCTGGCTCGACGGAGAAGTGGGCTGAGATGAATTTGTCCACACGATCGGCGAACGACTGCACCTCTTCGGACGAGAGGCTGTGCACGCTGCCGACATGTGAGCTGAGCGCGTTGCTGAGACAGTACGGCTGCGGGGCGGACAGTGGGAACATGTAGAGTTACACTTGCGATAAGCTGGTCGGTGCATATTTTCATTTCCCTTTTTAATTGGGTTTTCGAGGCTACCATTAGACCTTAATTAAGAGCAGCATTCTTTTTATTTCATTTCGCAAACATGCTTATAAGAAGCAAATAGGGATGATTTCTTGTGGACAGCGTCAAGCCAAACAGGTCTTGTGGTGAGATTGATCTATGAATATCTTCATCATGCACCTTCATATAAAATGAAGGAGAATACATGAAAATGCATGATGAAGAGATTTGTAATATGAGATGTATTCATTGTGGCAAAATTCTTCTACCAGTCCTTCATCACCTTCAACGAAATAGGGTGAATACATCTCATATTACTGATTTACTGGTAGTCTCTCAACAATACTTAAATGCGATAAATAAGAGATTTGTAGATCGATCTCACCACAAGACGACGTCCGATTCTCGTTGTATTGCAGTCAAGATGATTGGCATTTTTGTCTTACATGTTATATATACTAATAACAAAAAAGATTTAGTTGTCGTTGGAAATATAATTACTGTGTCCTTCTCTTATACTTGAGTGTGTCCATCTGTCTCCCTGCCCGTCTGTGCATGTGCATGTGCATGTATGTGTTAACGTCTGTACGCAAAATCTGCCACGACTCTGAGTAACTAGGAGCATTATGAGATGTATTCACCCAATTTCTTTTAAGGTGATGAAGAAATGGTAGAAAAAGAATTTTCCCACAATGATATGAGTTGACCTGACGTTTTAATTGAATTTCACATAGCCTTGCTTTCCCAAAAGTTGTTCTCATCCAGGCTGGATTGGACTGCTTGACACGCTAACCACTCGCGGTTCGACTCCCGCTGAGGATGTTGATAAGACCAATGCGAGGTTGAAACTGCAGTCCAATCCAGCCTGGATGAGAACAACTTTTAGGAAAGCAAGGCTATGTGAAATTCAATGGAAACGTCAGCTCAACTC